GTGTGTGTGTGTGTGTGTGTGTGTGTGTGTGTGTGTGTGTGTGTGTGTATGTGTGTGTGTGAGTGTGTGTGTGTGTTTGAGTGAATGTAATCTAGTCCGGTACGGTAAGTAGTTTTTCAGTGGATAAGTTTCTTACATTCCGCTCTTATTATCGTCACTGGAAAGTTATATAAGTAGCCTCCCATAAAATAAAAATGACGCTGTACAAAACTAGTGGAAACTGTAACTGAAGGACAGACGGTGTGTTTACGTCTAAGATAAATGTAGGTACCAATCTTTGACACTGTCCCAATGTATGACACTTCATATTTTTGAAAAAGTAAGAACACTAATATTAATATAATTCCAAAACCGTGTTAAATGTACTAGTAATGGCATATATTAATTCCATTTAGAATTTTTCTTCGATTCACTGATGTTTTTTTCCGAGTTGAAAACGCGTTGGTGTTCTTACAAAAGACTTAAGACTTCTTTGAGTGCATTTAAGAGTCGGAATTTTTATTTTTTTGTTAATTATCGGTAAATGTTTATTAAAACTATTGGATAACTGTACAAACAATTTATTTTGTGTGTTTTTATTGAAGCATATTGTTTATATTTTATTTTAGAGGCACGTCAACCACTGGTGCAAAATTTCAATGTTCAGTAGTAGTTGACACCCATGTCAAGCACTCGTACAAATGAATACACACCTAGGTAGTCAGTATGATCAATAATTAAGAGCTTTTTTGACATGACACGTGATTTTTCCGTCTAAAAGCGTCAACCACTGGAACATTTACCTTAATACATAGGGGACACTATAAGTTTCCGGAACTAGCCACTTACATAAATATTTAAAAAGTAATTACAACATTTGAAAATGGAACTCTTTGGCTGTACAATACAGTTTGTTTATTATATTTACATATGTTACACAATTTAAAAAAATTATTTAATATTAGGGAGAGAAGAGGGTCGATCGACAAAAAAGTTGATTGATTCATATTTCAAAAGTTCTTGGGTACCTACGAGTATTTACTTGAAATAATGTGTTCGTGTGTATTTAATTAATATTTTACACACCTAATTTAATGTAGAATTAGTTGTACTAGAACGTGGAATGTAAAAACGAACATTGATTGATTAACACCTTTACTAACTGAGAACGAAACAAAATTACAAACAAGAGACAAAATCGCACGACAGATTCACCAGAGTTTTACACCACATTGCATTTTTTAATGTTTTGTAATGCCCCTAATAGCAGCTAACACACACAATTAAAACCAACGTCACTAAACTCAGTGGATTTCGGTGTGAACCAATAGTTTCTTTCGCATTGGTTAAGAGTATGAATGATACAATTCTTTTTCCAGTCTTCAGCTAATTTCTGCCTGTAGTTAAGCTCAGTTATGGCCAAATGCATTAGAAACATTTCGTAGTCCGAGAGCGGAGCCACACCGAAATTGTTAGAGATGCCGTGGGCGTCGAGCTCTACTTCGTTTGCGATGTATCTGAAGGGAGAATATTGGTGTAGTCTTCGACTGTTGAACTTAACATAACGCTACGCGGAAGAAAGCGTTGAGATCAAAATAACGACGGATACAAGTAAAAAAATAATAATAACGCACACACTCAACATTGCCCCGCACTAGACAAACCCTATGTCGCGGGTGCCATGGACACATACATAGACAACCACAAATTACACCCAAATTCACAAGAGAAATAAATGTAGGCCATTCAAATATTTCTCCACGCCCGGGAATCGAACCTGGGATCTCTGCGTGGCAGTCCGGCATGGTAACCGTTCAGCATGGAGGCAGTTATGCAGCAAATATGGTCTTTGTTCTTAACTGTGTTCGTAGGATGTTTTAAGTAAAAATGGTAATTACTTGGCTGGTGAAATGATTTGGGATGAATCAGATTCTACGAAGCCAGTCACCCTTGGTACATCTTGACACAGGAGGGCGTACGCTATTGCCTTTACCAGGCCAGCGTGTGCATGGGCTTCGCTCAGATCTGCCGATTTACTGAAAGCCACAGCCTTCGACGCGTATCGCACTGTCTCAGTCATTAGTTCAGCATTGTGCTGCAAAAAAATTTACTAGTAATAAATCCCAATAGATTTGAAGGATTTGGATTAGTCTAAACTATCGATTGCGTTTGTCGGGCTTCGGAAAGTCACGTACGTTTTAACGTTCACTATTGGTAGCTTAAGCTTATTACTTTCATTTCTAATTTAACTTCGTAAACATGTTTTAATTGTTAAAATCTTATTGATAAAAATAAGAGAAGTATTACCCGCGCAAAATCGAAGAATTCGACCGCTTTTGAGAAGAGAGGCACTAGTGTTTCTCCTTCGGTGCCTCCAACACATGGCACTCTGGTGTACCGAGGCTCGAGGCTGAGAGCACGCGCTGCCAAAGTGCTCGCACGCATCTCGGCGACAGACATCGTGCCTAACAGTTTTCGAGGGTCATGAAACCCAGTATCTTTAAAAATCTGCGAAAAACGATACGTCATTTTAAGATGCATAAGTGTCAGGAAATTTCCATCTCTTAACAAATATTTCGATACCACAACACGTCTTGTTATGTTCAACCGACAAAAAATAATCAGATGCGGGATAACAAATCGTCAAGTTGAATGTATTTTAAAATGTAATTCCATCTTTGCGCCTAACCTATTCATTCACAGTTTTTATTCAACATTGACCTAGACAAAGAAAATATCCCATTATCCGGACAAAGAATTTTGACTCAGCCGAATAAAAAATTCTTGTTAAGGTGTTCCATTTCACGTTTATTCGATTATGTTAGAGGTGGCAAGATGGAATATTCGGTTATCCATTACATTCAAAAAGTTGACTAATTAGCATTAAAACTCAATCGACTAGTATTATATTCGACATTTTCTTCGTAGAGTTGAGGCAGTAAATGAATAAGTTTACAAAGCTTTGTTTTTCAATTATAGGTGTGGATTTGAAAGAAAAGTACATATATAATTTCATGGTAGCTTAGCACTTAATAGGGCACAATTTTCGGATCGTCATTTGGATTATATGGGTCCTGGTAACGCTATACTAAGAAAAAAATTATAAAACCTTCGAAGGCTCGTGGAGAGCTGAGGGACAAGTGAGCTCGCAAAGTAAAAGAAAGGGAAGCCGTGCTACCAACAACCTTTATATCCAGAACGTCGAAGGGCTCGTACTGCTTCACCTCTTTACTTCCTGGCCGACCACCAATAACGCCACAATGAAAAAACTTACACAGCTCAATGCCGGGCGGAGATGCGGGTAGTTGTTGTTTTTTCCATTTTTTTCGTTAAGGAAAAGGCAAAAGTTTGACACCAAGTCTTAGTAAATTAAGCATTAAGCCTCGTCTTCGGTGGGTATGGTCATATCAGATTGGAGTCAAGTAAGGGCACAAAGTTCCAAAAAATTTGAGATGCGCATGCGGGATTTTTTTTTTCAGTTCGAATATTGTAACGTCATACACGCCACTTCAAAGTCACTGGCGGATTTTGCGGTTTTGGCGTAGCACGGATTGGGATAGGAAAGGAAAAGGAGATGCTCAGCTCAGACGACATAAAGTACCATTTCCTATGGGTCATATGGGTCCTATGGATCCTATGGGTCATATAGATCATATGGATGAGAAGCCGTGACGGTGTTGACGATGTTCCACATTAGTAAAGCAATGGAAGTGTCATAACGGAAATCGATGTCAAAAGTAAATCTTATCTCTTATGTTGTTGGTTTCGTAATTGTACTTAACACAAAACTGCTAAATCGCTCGCCCCACCGCACAACAATGCGCGCGCGTGTTGTGACCAATCGCGAACATTGTAAACTTCCGTTTTAAAAGTTGCGGAAGTGGAAACGGAAACAGATGTGAAAACTTAAACGATGTGACAATTTTAACTATAATGATCTAATCAGAAGTAGTTGCACACATGCTGTAAATAAGTATCATTACTTGTTATTACTGTCATTGGGGCGAATTTAACGATATACGACTAGATCTCGTAAACTGGCGGCATTTGGGCATTATTAAGTCATAACTGTTAGTGGAGAAGTATGCAATACATTGTTGAACGGTAACTCATACGTAAGTTACTGAAACATTTATATTATTTCTGCAAGAAACGGTCTTATGTTTACAAAATATCAGGAAATTAAAGTGATTTCCATTTCCAATCAAACCCATTCTGTCATAAAAGTCAAATTGCAACGCAAATATAATTTTTGCAGAAAATCTGGTACGTGAATTTTCGGGTTTCAACCTTGTGCGATATTTATGAACCTTCTCAGTCAGCCGGTACCTTTACAGCGTCGGAAGCCGAAAAACCTAACACAAACATCTAAAATACAACAGACATATAAAATAATTCCGTCGACCTGCTGACTTGACCTGTAGCTCAGTTGACAGAGCGACCTACGGTACAGCGTCGTCACAGTTTCAAATCCTGTCAGATCGAACGAATTTTTCTTTGTGTATTATCTAATATTATCTTTGTATTAATAATTATAACAAACTAGTGGAGCTATTTAACATAAAATATCTATATGACTTTCACGGTGATAAAACATCTTGAACTTCAATAAAAATCTGATACGTGAATTTTAAGTATGCGTATAAAATTATCAAACAATACGAGATACAGAATCGAATAACAATCATTGTCTGCGATGGCAACGATGATAATTTTGTAACTTTGACATTCTTCGTTATAGGTCAGAGTTGAAAGGGCATATTGATTTTTCTGGTTCACAACCTGCGTTGTTTATAAATAGTTAAATTCGCAACATTTCGTACCCTGTCCGTTTTTTGCTGTGTCAATAATTTAATGCGCATTCACAGTAAAATTATTATTTGCGTAGTTTTGAAATACAGGTTTAGGCGATAGGTTTTATTCTGGCTATTTCGCGGCCACCCACAACACTTCAATATCGGTCTATAGATATTACTCGATATATTCTTCCAGATCGTAATACTAACACCAGACGGTAATCTAGTACATATTATAATAATAATTCACATAATATTCTTGGTGTTTCTCTGATGGACCGAATCTCTGGTGAAGACATATGTTAGACAATAAAATTGACCGACATGTCTCGCAAAATCAGTAAGATTAAGTGGCAGTGGGCCGGATATCTTTGGAGGCTGATAGCCGATAGAGCAGACTAGTTCTGCAGTAGCGACCACGTCAACGCAAACGTAGTGTAGAACGCCTTGCGGCACGATGGCGGCTGGATGCGGGCGGCACAGAACCGGGAGAGTTTGCGTTCTCAAGGGGAGGCTTATGTCCAGCAATGGATACTCGTAAGCTGATGATGATCATCATTTTTTTTTCAGCCGTAAGATGTTCACTGCTGGACATGGGCCTTCCCCAAAGATCGTCACAATGACCGGCTTTGCGCTGCTTCAATCCAATAATCTTAGTTAAGAGTAAGAACTTATTGTAAAAATATATACCTCAACAGCCAAAGGTACCATACAGTCGACAGGAGATATACATATTACGGTAAAAGCTTGCGGACATTCTTGTGAAATGGCATCTGCGTATTTCTTGACTAGCGGTGCTTTACTATAGAATCGCGTCTCCAGCGATAACTCCAAGTTCTGCGCATCACTTTCCAGCATCAGGACTATGTGACTATTCTGAGAAAATATAGAAAACAAAATACAGATTTGTTGTAAAGATGACCAAGGAAATATATTTTTTTTTATAATATCAAATCACGGGACAACAAGTCATGTCCCTGATGGTAAGAGACACTCCTGTCTATAGCAATTGCAGTGCCAGTCGGAAATTTAAATCGTATAGATCTGACGGGCAGAGACATAAGTTGACAAGTCCCATGTGACTGTAATTTCCCCAGCACCTTTACTTTTCAAACCCGGAACGAGAGCTCACATTACTGTTCGGGTGCAGATTAATAAGGCGACTGTACTTCCCTACATGAACTCTTTCACAAGAAATTCTACTGCTACTAAATATAAGTATGTTTTCGTAACTGTATATTTTCTAGACAAATTCTCTATAACACTATTTATTATACAATATACGTTGCTAAAGAATCATTGAGCGATAAAAAAGTGTAGAAAACCAAACCAAAGTTTGCGCATTGAACAGAAATTAAAATTAATTTCACAACTACATCATTATTTAACCAAGCAGCCATAAAAGTGTCATAGTTCATAATCGTTAATACTTTACCAACGCTGAAAGAGCAAATTGTGAACGTGACAAATTATTCGGGACATGTGCAAAGTCATCCATATAGAGAAGCATGAACGATAAATCAAATTACTGACTACTGAATACTGTTCGAAATTTGGTTAGCAAAATATCGGATCCGCCACCATGAATCGGTGGCATTCAAACGCTTACGATAAATACGTGTTAGGAAAAGTCAGGACATAACGTGGAATTTCTGCAACAGTTACAATACTGGGTGTACTTTCTTAGATCATCCTTTATAACTTATATTTTAATATTGTTTGGTTAAATCGACTGCTGCAAGCAAGCTTTTGCTTCTTTTTCGCTGTGTCCAACTAGCTGTACCCTCAAAAACCTGCTAAAGGCAACAGATAGGGGCATAAATGAGGCTGTTTATAGGCCAAAGAAATTTAACGCCCGTTTATTAATTTTATTGGTTTTTGTCATTGATTCTACAAGAAAGAGAAGAATTTAAAGACCGAAGCATCATCAAAGAAGTAGAAAATCATATGCGAAAAATATGAGTTCCCTCATGTACGTGTACGATGGAAAATCGCCTTTCGCTCTCGACTCACGCGTAAAACATGTTTACATTCCATAATGTCGTGATAGCGAACGTAGTGTCCACTTTAAATGTAATTTTTCTATGTAAAATTAAATCCAACTGCGTGTATTTGTCGACACATCAAAAGGGAAGATCCCGAACCTGCGCGGAAACGCCGCACCGTCTATATGACACGGTCAAGGTGCGACTTCTAGAGGCTTAAAGTTGGCCATCGTAAAATACCACCACACCGCTCTCCATAGGAAAGACCGACTAGGTTCTCTAACCGGGACGTTATATTTGTGAGACTTTGATATATTACTTGTATTATGATATATTACTTGTGTGTATTACATTTTTTATTCATTCATAGCTATGCGGAACGGAAGAAAACAACATTCCATCTAAGCTACTTTACGTAGGGTTAGGAATCTATACGAGCTTAAATCGGTACCCCGCAGACAGAGAGGCGCCACACTACTCACAAATCCTCCCAGTATCTATTACAATTCTAATTCCAAATATAAGGACGTAAACACATTTATGTTACAAACTATCGATCAGATAGCATAAACAATAAACCTTGTAGACTAGCTTGTACATTTTTGCAGTCGGGGCGACTGCCGTATTGATTGGCAAGCTACCTGAGGTCGACGCCACCCACTTGCGAACACCATACACGGTCGAAGAAAGAAACAAAAAATCAAAGCGGCAATTGAATGTGCCATAATGTTATATATAAATAGAGCTCGTTTGTATTCACTAGGGCTGAGTTAGTAACGTTAACTATTCTGCCTGTAAGCTGAACATGATTTGAGGTCAAAGGGACAGCACAGAGGAAATCAAATGCTACGTACAATAGTGTAGTAATGTCAAATCATCCAATTCCGAAATTAGATTATGATTTACCGCTCATAAGTAATAAAAATTACTAATTAGATTGTGACTAAGCCGCCGTCTATTGTACAATAAAAAAATACAGTTGGTAATACATACACATAAGGATCAAAATTCTTCGTCCGTAATTATTTAAGTATTAGTAATAAATTAAGTAAGTATTTTTTAAGGTATGCCTTTTGAATCCACGTTAAGTAATATCGAACTGCTTAATATTGTTGCGTAGTAAGATTTTGAAGTATTTTTTTTTAATTAAAAAAGTTGAATTCTCTATTTTAGAGGATTAGTGCGCATCGAGGAGAATTCCCATTGGCTCTGGCAGTCTAATCACCGATCTGACCAACGGGAAACACTGGGACGCGTATTGCTTCACCTGGTTGAGCTAGTGAAAAAGAAAAATCCTCAGTGGTTCTGTAAAGAGAACTGTCTATTTATTGACAGAACAAACGGGAAGAAATACAAGCAGTTCTGTCAACAATACAACAGAACTAGTGGGAGTAAACGGGGTGGTTGACTTTCGAGTATGACTTTAGTAAGATTAAATAATAGAATGCCAACTTTTTTGACCCTGATTATGGTTTCCTGACGAACCACCAGCTGTCAAATCAATCTGATCAGTGGGGGAAAACATTCCCATCGGGTAGATCAGTCTAATCACGTATCTGACTAATGGGAAACACTGCATATTTTGCATCCCGTACGTGGCAGCAGCACTTCATACACGAATTTGGGCTTGGTACGGCTTTTTTTGAAACAACTTTCCCGGCATGGTACATCAACACTGTTGATGTTGGTGTAGTTATTTATATTTCATATTAGAAAAACGTCCAAGCATAACGTAAAGTAAATAAAATTGAGTACTACTATACCACCATCGAGTATATAACCAGAAATTGAGACGAAATAAGTCCATCACTGGCAACTCATCAGGCAAATGGGCCTTATCACTTTTAAATATCAAGTTTTGTTTGCGCTGAAATCACAAATTAGAAAACTGAAATAGTACAGCGTCAACAACTGGCCTGTGTGTACGTCTCCGTATATTCCAAAAATAGTCTGTATTTATTGTAATAATGATAATATCTCTAACAATGAGTGTTCCATTCGGTGGTGTGGGAAAAACAGCAAAACATCTAATTACAAAACAAACGGAATCACATTTCATCCGTAATTAAATATGTAAATTTTCAATTTACGACTATTATAGCAACGCTCAAGTTAAACTGGTCGATTTGACATAAAACAGTGGACGACACCCGTTAATTGTTTCGAATTCGAGCAGGCCAATCGGAGCGCAGTTGTCATTGTAATGATTTGGCAGAATGATTTTCAAACAAATTAAATGACATTTCGCCTTTATTTCTGGTTATATATGCCATGATTGCAACTTATACAAACACAGAAAATGTGAAGGGAAAGAAATATTAAACAAATTTGATTTGTAGACATAAGACATAACTTTAGTAACAAGTAGCTACGAGTACGTAAGCGTTAGATGTAGAAAATTAATTGCATATGATAAAAAACCTGTAAACATAAGCTCAGCTCCGATGGACTGCCGCCATATGCTTGGATAACACAATTTGTATCTATGTGTTGGAGATCATGCACCACTTTACATATATCTCGCTCAGGCTCCGTTGGCCTGTCCTTCGCTTCATAAAGTCGAATCCTGCAATCCATCTATCATGTATAAAAGGAAATTGGAAGTCGGGTGACAGTCAAATCCCATTTATCATAATGGAACTCCGAAATCTTATTATCGACTTTACGTTTTACTTTTAGTCTTTGTAAAAAAACTGTCTCCTATTCTTATTAATATTATGGTCTCTTTAAAACCAACTGTGCTTATTATTGATACAAAGTAAAATTCCTTCGATTCAACTGGACACGAACCAGTCAGTGGCTCAACATGGCTACTAGTCGTATCGACATAATTATTCTTTGTTTGTTTGATCTTTGTATCAATAATAATTACAAACTAGTGGAGTAAATAGATGAATATCATGGTAGTAAAAATATCATGATATTCAATAAAAATAAGCAACAGTACTTTTTTAAACTGAAAATCCGGATAGACATACAGCTTATTTAGTACTTGTTAGTCTTGATAAAATCATAGCTCTTTCCTTTTACTTGACTACTTATTAGTAATGTAGACGTAGAAAGAAATGAAGGCTGGAATTTTTTAAATTTTCCAGCCATAAAACTTATACTGCGCTAAGCTGTGCAAAAGTCACGACTCATCGTAAAATCTTTATTCTTATTACATTCGCTTGAATGGTCCGTGTAATAGTATGAGACCTTACTAAAAGTTTGATGTGTGCATGTGCAATAGCCTGGTGAAGAGTGCACGGTATCAAATATTTGATCCATGTCAGCTATAGAAATCAATGTGGTGAAGCTTCTTGTTTTCTAGTTGGATCTGTCATATTACCGTGCAGCAATGGATCTCTGGTGTCATAACAATTCACAATAAAGCAAAAGTAATTTTGTAAATATCGTCGTATTCAATAATTTCAGAGCTGGTCTTTGGATCCACATTACTCAAAGATAAATGTCAATTTATTTGCTGAAAGAAGATGGCAATAAAACTCCACTTTTTCGGAGGGTTACTGGACGGTCGTTCCCTTGGGATTGTCCGGAATCATGAGCCGTATCTATTCAATGTCGCTCGTACATTTCCTTCTAAATAGCTCGCATATCGCATATCGAATGAAAATAGCATTTTTCAAACGTAGAGTTGTTCTACAACTTCACGGGTGAATGAACGATTATGAACTTTTAACTGAAACCCGAGGCATGAAAAGTTCGGGCTTACTTCTTATGTTGACCTTGAAAATTAAATTAAAAATAGTATGTTTGTTTTTGTTATGCGATTAAATGTACGAATAGAGAAATGGCGATGCTTTATGATTAACTTGTTATAAAGCGTGAAACACACAGAGAGCGGGTGCGGGTCGGGCGCAGGTCGGGTCGGGACCGCGGCGGTTCTAATTAAGTCTAATTCGGCGGGCACGGGACGGGCGCACGCTCCCGCGGTTGATGAGTTGTCGTACATATAAATACAAGGAATCTCGCTCTCTGTGTGTTTCATGCTTAAGAGTCATTGAGGCGTTGCTATTTCTATTTTACTAAGAATGTAACGTTTAGGAGTAAAAACTGCGGTGAGCTCATGTACTATGAACCAAAACACGTTTTCGATTTGGAGATGTGGTACACGATAAATTTATATCGGAAGCTTACTCGCGTGTTGTGACAAGCGAGACGAACAGTCCCGGAGGGAGGCCGGGTGATTTCTCGATCAACTACCATGGTTAGAGTGGTGGCACGACTGCCTAACAAAGTTCAAACTGCCTATAAATATACGAGTATAAATGAATAAATAAATATTAGACGACTTCACATACGTTGCTCCGATCCCAAAGTAAGTAACTAAAACACTCGTGTCACACACACGGAAATCGGAAACAACGACGGTACAACGACAAACACTCCGACCCGGACAATGTACAAAAGATTTTCTATATTTTCTTCACCCAGCCGGTGATTGAACTGGGGATCTCTGAAATGCAAAATTTATCGATGTGAACCAAAAAAAGATACTCGTCAGAGAAACAACGTGAAGTCGTCTCAATTTATTTCCCATTAAATGAGAATTCTTGACGAAGCCCAGTGCGGATCTTTAGGTTGTAAATTTGACCGTATCATACTTCACATACAATTTGTTAACTTATGAAATGAATTTCAGGATTTAAATAAGTGTATTTTTAAATCAAGTTACGAATCGTCTGGGTATCTTAGAACGGTTGAACACGGGAAATTTTAGCAGCGATACAAATGCGAGGCAGTAGTGATGCAGTCGTTGATCGTTTGCCTTTACACACGCGCGCGGTTTTAAGCAGCGATGCAAACGCGATGTAAGCGGGCGATTGTACCGATATAAACGCGCGATTGCATCGCTACACTCGAAAGTGTATAAGAGTTGCCGTGAGAGCGGTCCTTAGTTTTAGTCCTTATTATTTATTGGAAGGTATTGGAAGTGCCTTGTGCTTAGTAGATTTTATACGTTTTATCCCAATTTCCCAAATAAGAGGCTCAACCCATAAATAAACACGATTACCAGTAACCATTTAGATCACGATCGAACAAAGACAAACGTCCTTTGTAGGCAGGCAGACGATTTTATTAAGCGTAACTTGTGACGTAATGACGTCACGAATCACTGCTTGCCTATTACCGGAACGGAGAAAGGCTGACGACGTGACATTTATAAAAAGACTTGTGTTAACATCGTAAACTATTGGTTAATATTATTGTTTCTAAATAGCTATGTAAAAAACAGTTAATCGCCTTTAAAGGATGAGCACTTAGAGATTTTACGTCCGTTTTCATATCTCTTTTAAAAAGGTAAAGGCTTAATTTCACAAGAGAATAATTTAAGTTTTTTACAGCGCGAACTTTTGGCCAACTACGTCGTTCGAAGTAGATTCTTTACATTTAAGTTAACAGTTGATACTACCTCAGCTCTAATTAAAAATTTTCCCTTTACAAACGAAATTAAAATCATTAGAAAAATGTATATCGTATGCTATTACGTGTTCTATTTAGTTCAGTTGATATAAAAAAAAAACATTCGTATATGTAAAGTACCTATTTAATGCAGCGGTTTTTTTTTGTAAAATTTCGAAAGTAAGTTTGTGTTTATTTTTTCGACCATGAACATTTTTAGTAATCATATGGTAATCAGTGCATGTCCTCAATTTTTAACCGACTTCAAAAAAAGAAGGAGGTTCTCAATTTGGTTGTATGTTGAAACGATTTTGATGATTCTTTTTTTGTTGGAAAGAGGGTACGCCTAAGAGTGGCAAACTAGCGGATGAATGACTTTTCAGGTCGGTTTTTTTTTGATCAGAGATTATTCTATATAATACAATAATATTAATAATAATAATAAGGCACACTCTCAACATAGCCCCGCACTAGGGAAACCCTGTGTCGCGGGTGCCATGGACACACAGACACATAGACAACCACAAATTACACCCAAACTCACGAGAGAAATAAATGTAGGCCATACAAATATTTCTCCCGGCCCGGGAATCGAACCTGGGACCTCTGTGTGGCGGTCCGGCATGGTAACCGTTCGGCCACGGAGGCAGATAATTATTAAAAGTCATGGAACAAGTTGTTGTTTACGATGTCAGTAATATGGTCCTGCGAGGTTATTAATAACCCTGTATAGAAAAAAGAAGAATAATTTTAGATGCCTTTAAAATACGGTATAGCAATCCTTAATGTTTTTGAAGACAGGATAAGGATATAATTTTCGTAATTCGACGCCCAGTTTTCGGAATTCCATTGTTTATACGCAATCTACCAACAAATTTAGAGCTTAGTAGAATAAGGAAGTCGAATATTCTTGCTACCGTTTGACACAAGGGCACTGTTTGAGCAACAACGCAGTGTAATGTCCAACAGGTGAATCAGCGCCAAGAATCGTTACGTTAACGCCGCGGGCCACTTCAGGTGATTCTACTACCGCTTTCTTCGGAGCTGGTAGCGCCTTAGGAACATCCTCTTTCTTTTCTTCCTTTTTGGGTTCATCATCCGCATCATCGCAAGGAGGTTTGCATTCCAATCGTCGAAAAGGTGCTGCGCAATAAAAAAAGACATGCTAACTAGATGATTTGCTATTTGTCCACACAAATCTACTAAGCTTTTTTCGTAATCTGGTAACCTTTTCAACGTGACACGCGCTTGTAACCTTTTCAATCAAAACAAGGAAAGATACTGACATATGTAGAGTCTGTATGGTGGAACCTTTGCCTACCCAAATAAATGGCGGAAAATTTATTAAAAAAAAATTACGAAAATATTTACAATTTGGATTTCGCGAGAATTTTGTTTTTATAGACGTATAATTTTTTAAAGAATAGGTACTAAATAGTACAATTTATGTACAGTTTTCTGGTACTAAGTTTATTAGGATTCGTTAAGATGCACACGACACTCTGAAATCGCACAATTTTACCTTTACATCTCCGAAACTAACCAGCAGATCGAGCTGGAATTTCTATTACTTTCGAGTACTAATAAGGTACACATTTTTCGAATAATAAGTTTTTATAATTATTAAATAAAAACTGGCAATCTGAGGTACATTCGCCGTATTGACTGCAACACGGCGAGTTTACCTTTGATATGCTATAACTTAGTTCTGATGGAGATACAAATTTTTTCAACAGAGGTACTGAAAAGTACAATTTAGGTAAATTTTTTTGATACCAAATTATTAGGATCCGTTAAGGTACACCCGCCATTCTGACCCACATGCTTTTTTTTTTTGGTGGTAAGCGACACGTTTGTCCAAAGCAGCTGCACTGTCACTCAGGGCATTAAATCGCAAAGATCTGAGGGGCACTGTCGTTACGCCCGTAACTCTGAAATATAAGTTGACAAGTCCCACGTATCTGTAATTGCACTAGCAAGCACCCTTACCCTTCAAAACTGGAACGCAGTAACACTCACATTACCGCTTCGCGGTGGAAATAGGTAAAGTGGCAGTACTTCCGTGGACGAACTCTTTCATAAGGAGCTCTACTGCGATTGTCGTATTTATAGCTATTGTGACCTTAAGGAGTTTCTCAATTACGAATTAAAAATGTTTCAGTAAGAATAGTGCTAACTTCCAAAATTAGTGCCTCCTTCAACAACTTTCAACTTGAGCCAGTGCAGGACGCCGAGCCGTTTTTTTTTCCGCAGCGGGCATGGTACGGGACAATCCGGATTAACCTCTGGTGGTATATCTGCTTTTGCTAGCCGGCAATCACTGCGCTTTCTGCCACCTTTCTTTGCATACCATCTTACAGAGTTTATAAGGTTTACGCACACTGTTTGTGGAATATTATTTACGAATGGCGTTCGTTGATGCAGTGCAAAACTTGTTATATACCCTGCTCTTAAAAACGTTTTCGCAGCCATTGAAAATTAGGAAATAATTTGAAATTGCTACGAAGCCGAAGGTAAAATTATTGCTGCCGTAAATTTAATATTTTTTAATTAATTTAAACTTTACTTCATTGAGAATTTTTCATTCACGTTTCTCGTTTTATTTTGATTATATTTGATTAATGTCAATTTTGATTCCATTGTTTACTTTCATATTTTTTATTTATAAACAGAATTTTATTATGTAAATGGCCATTATGATTCTTTTCAAGTAGATTGAGATTATGCCTGTGTATCTTTCCCTTAGACTATGGAACATCCTCTAAGATCTTTCCATCCTCTAAGGTATCCTACTCAACGCTTAGAGGATGGAAAAAAAAATCTCAGTACAGAGTACTAAAAAAACCGACCTCAAAAGTACGTGGTACGTTTTATATATTTATATTTATTACGTCTATTTGCCAAGTTTTATAGAAATGTCCCCTAGTTCGCAGTGGCGGAGTGTATAGTGATACAGGACTTGACACTAAAATAGAGATAATAAAAGTCGGTTCTCACTACTCAAAGTACATTGAGAGAAAAATGCCTTGAATTGGAGAAATAGTGATATCAACCATTAAAATAATTGGTCCTTAAGTAAAATTTAGGCGCTATTTATAAAAATTAATCTTCATGCGTGAACAGCCACCCTTAGAGGTGGATGATTTTCTTCAAAATGAAATGGGACCACTGTGGAAGTACCTCCTTTCCAACAAAAAAAGAATCATGAAAATCGGTTCACAAAAGGTTCGGAGCTAATATTTTTAACCGACTTCGAAAAAGGAGGAGATTCTCAATTCAACTGTATGTTTTTTTGTATGTGTGTAACTCCGAATTTCTGAACCGATTTTTATGATTCTTTTTTGTTGGAAAGAGAGTACCTCGGTAGTGGTCCCATATAATTTTGAAGAAAATATTCCACCTCTAAGGGTGACTGTTCACGCATGAAGACTCATTTTTACAACAGCGCCTAAATTTTATTATAAAGAGCAATTATTTTAATGGTTGATTTTGCTATGCTCCAATTGACGGCGTTTTTCTCTCTCAATTTACTTTAAGCAATGAAAATAATTATTAGAAAGAATTTTTATTATCTCCTGTGTTGAGTCCCGTACATGGTCTAGACCGAAGCCGGATTTCGTCTACCTGGATTCAAGGACATATAAGCTTCAAATCAAGAAAATAAATGAACTTAACTGCTAGTCGTCAAGGTCGTGGATGTAGGGTGGTGAAGGCTTTTTATATGTTTCACGATAAAGGCTCTCCACGTTGCACTGGTTGGTGACTTGACAAACAATAATTATTTATCAGCATTGCGCAGATTCATTTGCACGTAGGGGGAAACCCAAAACCAAATATTCCGACAATGGTTTATCATTGGTGTTTACAACCTTTTAACATTTTTAAGATGTAATTGCTGTCGTCAGAGGTCGCCAATGAAGAAATAAATTTCTGTTTTGTTCCAGCTTATTTGCCATTTGGAGGTCTATGGGAGGCTGGTGTAAAGTCGACCAAATACCATTTACAAGGAGTGTTGGGCAATTGTAACTTAACTTTCGAAGAGCTTTATACAGCACTTGTCCAAATAGCACGTAATAACGCACACACTCAACATAGCCCAGCACTAGGGAAACCCTGTGTCGCAGTCATACAAATATTTCTCCCGGCCTGGGAATCGAATCTGAGACCTCTGCGTGGCATGGCAACTCGTTCGGTCATGGAGGTAATTGAAGCAATCCTCAGTTCACGACCACTTACCCCTCTCTCGAGCGATCTAGAAGACCTAATGCCATTGACACCAGGATATTTCATCATCGGTAGACCGCTCACTACCTTGCCAAGCCAGGATTATCAAGATGTGCCAAAAAATCACTTGAATCGTTTCCAGCAATTTAAAAAACTTCGGCAGCATTTTTGGTGCACATGGAGCAAAGAATATGTTTCAGAGCTTCAACTGCGGACTAAATGGCGTATTTGTAAAGACGCATTGAAGATGAACGCCCTAGCAGTTCTAAAGGAGGACAATCTACCGCCGTTAAATTGGAAATTGGGTCGAGCTACAACTCCTGTTTCCTGACACTTGATGGCGTCAATAGAGTGGCTGATATCAAAACTTCTACAGGAATTGTAAGAAGATCCCTTTCTTTGTCCACTTCCTGAAACAAGTATTACTGGTTGAAAGACAAGCTTTCAATGGCCAGCGGAATGTTCACGAATGAAGACTTATTTTTATAAATAGCGCGTAAATTTTATACGGGCAATTATTTTAATGGTTGATTTTGCTATGCTCCAATTTAAGGGTTTTGCTCTAAATATAGTTTAAGCAGTGACTACCGATTGTTATTATCTCCTGTGTTAAGTCCCGTTTAGTGGCGAACAAGGGGATGAATCTGGGTTTGCGTTCCTGTAACCGATTTCAATAAACCTTGGCAAATAGATGTAATTCCACGAATTTTTGAGGACGCTTTTTTTAGTAGTCTGTGTACTGACACTATATTACCTCTATAGGACGAGAAGTGTAAGAAAAAATTGCTAGGTTTGTCATAAATAAATATTAGACAATATCACATACGTTGCTCTGATACCAAAGTAAGTAACTAAAGCACTTTTAATTTTTTTAATTTATTTATTTAATATTCTTGTGTTAAGGAAATCGGAAACAACGACGGTACCACAAACACCCAGATACGAAATAATATAGAAAAGTTAGTTACCTACGTTGACCCGGCCGGGGATCGAAACCGGAACCTGAGACATGGCGACACCATCAAAACCGGTGTGAAAGCCACCCAATTTTTAAAGAAACTAGATTACATACAAAAATATTTGAACTAATTTGGCTGAAAAGAGTATTATTGCCAGAACAGTTTGTAGATAAACGGGTAGATTTGTAACTTGTCACTAACCGGCAATAAGTCTGTCGTATTTATAGCGGGGGTGACAATGAGTTCGAAAGGGAAAGCCTCGGTCGGTAGCGACGGCGGGGTGTTCGCTCTGCCTTGACACTGTCGTATTTATAGGCACTCTCATCTGATATTGGCCTATTTCCTCTAACAGTTGCTGCTTTATAACACTCCGATTGGTTTTTGTTTATGCTTGTAGTTGCTGTTATAGTCTTATTTGTAAACAATGCCAATAGCGCATTCTATTCGCAGTGTGCAATTCTGGACTACGCTCGATTTACAATGTTAATCATGCGTTTGGAAAACATTTACATTTGGAACGTATTCGCACTTTGTCTTAATCGTAAAATTTTAAAGTTTTGGAAACAATCACGACTGTTTTTAAGCGTGATTTTGTAAATAAATGATTGTTTTTTTTATAATTTAATTATCTTCTAACGTACCGAAGACACTATATTCATTTTTTTTTTATAATGTCAAGTGACGGGACGAACGAGTTGTGTGTGCTTGATGGTAAGCTACACGCCTGTCCATAACAATTGCAGTGCCACTCAGAGCTTTAAGTCACAAAAATCTGAGATACACTGCCTCTGCGCCAGTCACCCTGAGACATAAATTCACAAGTTCCAATTGCCAGTAATTTCGCTAGCAGCCTTCCAAACCAAAACGCAGTATACTCTTTCACAAGGAGCTCTACTGCTACTGACCTAATGCTAATAAAAATAACCCTGGATCCTAAACGCAACGACCTCAGAAGGATGTTATTGCTGCCACTGATTCTGCGCATCAATATGATGTCTAAACTTTTGTGTCCGTCAGGTTGGCTGGACCACTTTACGTTTTTCATGGTTCTAGCAGTATATGATTTACTATTTTTTATAACTATTTACCACGCAATTTCTACCAAAATATTTCCTTTTTTTCACTGTTTTAGGCTTCCTCTATAAAAAGTTATTTAAAAAAATATATAAAACGCCTCTGCAAAAGGTATTTTCTATAAGGACAGTTTATTTTCTAGATAGATTAGTTATATCAGAAATAGAATCAAAGTAATGCTTAAACGACGACTTCGGTAGCTCAACGATTAGCATGGTACCACTGAATGAGTTTGTCCCAGGTTCGATGACCTGACCGATGAAATGACCTTCTCTAAACTTTTTGTAATTTTAGTGCTTTGGATAGTGACCAGGTAATTGGGTGTAGTAGTCTGGCACATCATTATTCACATCATTAATAAAAATAAAGAGAATGAATTAAATATAATCAAAGGAAAATATGTATACTACACTTTATTAAGGAGAATATGTTAACCCTCCCATCCCTTTATATCATAAAAGTAGCATTGTTTGTCTGTAAGCAACGAACATATTTTGAATTTAATAAAAATCCTCGTCGCCAGTATAACCTGATCCTCCCTCAACCTAAATTAGAAATATACAGAAACAGTCCATTGTACAGATCTATTTTAAAATGTAATGAAATTCCAATATTAATTAAAAAGAAAAAGAAAATATCATTAACGCATTTACAAATAAACTAAAACAATTTTTCATCCAAAACGCATATTAATAAATGAATTTTTAATTGCAAAATAAAGTCACAACTCACGGAAATCTCACATTGATCTCATATAGTTATATAGTTAAGTATGAAGTTTAATAATTAGTTTTTAAGTCTCCTTCCTTCACCCTGACTGGGTCATGTACGTACAAAAATTTTATTATAAGATCTTCTTAATGTACATGTGCAATATGGAAATTAATAAATAAATAACTTCACAGAAAGTAGGTAATAATAGCAATCGCGAGTGAATTGAGGTTTTTGTTCTTGCAGGTCATCGGTCACGATGTCCGGAGCAGGAAATCGCGTGACCTGTTCGATTCGGTGTTTCATGGTCATAGAATTTAAACATCAACTTGTACTTCGGACTGTACTCATCACAAATAGCATTCAACTACAATGGCAAATGGAATTA